AGAGAGAGAGAGAGAGAGAGAGAAAGAATTTTTTAATATTTATTTTTTAGTTCTCGGGGGACACAACATCTTTGTTGGTATGTGGTGCTGAGGATCAAACCCGGGCCGCACGCATGCCAGGCGAGCGCACTACCGCTTAAGCCACATCCCCAGCCCCTTAACATATCTTTTTAAAAAAAAAAAAAAATTGTTGTTGTAGATGGAAACAATACAATTATTTTTATGTGATACTGACGATGGAACCCAGAGCCTCATGCATGCTAGGCGAGTGCTCTTTCCTCTGAGCCACAACCCCAACCCCAACAGTTATATCTTTAACCAAGCTCCCAGAATTCAATCATAGGCCCAAATTCCAGGTAGATGGGAAGAAAAAAAGAGTTGAATATGAAGGCCTGAAGCTGACATGGCTGAATTTGGTTTCATTTAAGGCTGAGAAAGCTCAAGTTTTAATCCAGTATCATTGCAAAAAATTGAAGTTTTATTGAGACATGATTTACATATCATGAAATTCACCTATTTTGTGTATGATTCAATGATGCTCAGTAAATTTGTAGTCTTACTACCATTGCCACTAATCTCAAAACATATCATCACCCCCAAAGACCCTTCATGCCCATGTGCAGTTTCTCCTGGATTTCATCTTCAGCCCAAGGCAACCACTAATCTGCTTTCTCTATGTATATACATTTGCATATTCTAGACATTTCATGAAAATGGAATCTTACAACAAATGGTCTTTGGTGTCTGCTGCCTTTCACTTAGCATCATGTTTTTGAGTTTTAATAACAACATGTCTTATGTGTCATTCCTATCATTGCTGAATAGTATTCTATTACTGGATATATTCAACTCATTTTGTGTCTCTGCTTCCCAGTTGACAGACATTTTGATGGTTTCAGGTTTGGGGCATTTATTCAATGCTGCTGTGAATATCTGTCTTCATGTGGACATTTTCATTTCTCTTGGATAGGTTCCTACAGATGGAATTACTGAGTGCTGGAGCAAACTACTTATTTTTACCTTTTTTTTTTTTAAATTGGGGAGTGAACACTGAAGTGCTTAACCACTGAACCACATCCCCGGCCTTTTATTTTTTATTTTGAGACAGGGCCTCACTAAGTTGCTGAGACTAGCTTTGAATTTGCAATCCTCCTGCCTCATCCTCCCAGGTCACTGGAATTATAGGCATACACCATAGTGCCCAGCTCCCAGTTAACTCTATTTTAAACACTCCCTTCTTCTTCATGGAGAGAGGATCATCAACTAAAAACAATGAATATCTTTTTGTTGTTGATGTTGTTGTTGTTGACAGACCTTTATTTTATAATAATATTTTATTATTTATACTCACAGTGCTGAGAATTGAACCCTGTACCTTACACATGTGAGGCAAGTGCTCTACCATTGAGCCATCCCAGCCCCAATGAATATCTTTTATTGCAAACTCTTCACCTCAAATCCAGATAGCTGAGAGTTATTTAACAGCAACTTTGTATCAAGGGGCTTTAGCTTGGGCTGGGGAGGTGGCATGCGCGGAGTGCTGGGTTCGATCCTCAGCACCACATACAAATAAAATAAAAATGTTGTGTCCACCAAAAACTAGAGAATAAATATTTTAAAAATTCTCTCTCTCTCTCTCTCTCTCTCTCTCTCTCTCTCTCTCTCTTAAAAAAAAGAGGGGGGGGGCGGCTTTAGCTTTACATTAAAATATCAGAGTGGGCTGAGGTGTATGTAGCTCAATGATAGAGCTTCTGATTAGCATACACAGGCCCTGGGTTCAATCCCAACACCAAGGGAAAAAGAGAGAAAATGTCAGGCTCACATTATAGCTCAGTGGTAGAGCGGGTAGAGCGATGCTTGCTTAGCATAGGTCAGGCTCCGGGTTTGATTCTCAGCACTGCATAAAAAAATAAATAAATAAAGTTTAAGTTTTTTAGAAAGGGGGAAAAAGGAGAGAGGAAAATGCCAGAGTAACGCAGCTTAAAATAAATAATGTCGAGGCAATCATCTAAGATAGCCCCAAAAACTCCTTGCCTGCTGGTGTTTAGACCCTGTGAAATAATTGCCACTCAAATAAAAGCTACACATTATGACTCCTTTCTAACTAAAACTTGGGGAAATTATGACTTTCATTTCTAAAATTCAGGCACAAAAAGACTATGGCAACTGTCCTTCCTTAACTCACCTGCTTTAGGGAAAGCAAGCTGCCAAGTTGTGAGCTCACCCATGGAAAGGCCCACAGGGAACTGAGAACTGAGGTCTCCAACCAAGAGTGAGGACCTGCTGACTACCAACAGCCATGTGAGTGAGCCTAGAAACCAAGCATCCCCACTCAAGCCTCCATCTGATTACAGCTCTGGCCTACATTTTTTTTTCCCTTAAGACTTTTAGTTGTAGATGGACACAATACCTTTATTTTGTTTATTTAGTTTTACATGGTGCTGGGGATCGAACCCAGGGCCTCACACATGCTAGGCAAGCACTGTACCACTGAGCTACAACCCCAGCCCCCCAGCCGACATTTTATTCAGCTTTCTTAGAGACCTTGAGCTACACTCAGTTAAGCCAATAACCCTCATATTGTTTTATGCTGCTAAATTGTGGGGCAATTTATTTTGCAGCAATAGATTTACTAATCAATGACCGATAAAAAGTGTTTTTCCTTTGATTTCTAAGTATATTTAGAGAGGTTTGGGTTGGGGTTGGGTTGGGGGGGGGACATTAGGGATTGAACCCACATGGGGGTGCTTTATCACTGAGCTATACTGCCAGCTGTTTTCATGTATTTTTTATTTTTTTTTTAATTTTGGGGGGTACCTGGTATTGAATTAAGGACCATTCAACCACTGAGCCACATCCCCAGCCCTATTTTGTATTTTATTTAGAGACAGGTCTTACTGAGTTGCTTAGTGCCTCACATTTTGCTGAGGCTGGCTTTGAACTGGCAATCCTCCTGCCTCAGCCTCCCAAGCCACTGGGATTATAGGCATGCCACTGCACCGGACCCTTTTTATTTCTTATTTTGAGACAGGGTCTTGCTAATTTGCCAAGGCTAGCCTCAAACTTGCAATCTTCCTGCCTCATCCTCCTGAGTCACCGGGATTACAGGCAAGAGCTATTGTAGCTGACTGCATTTATAGTTCTTTAAGGACAAATGCTGGAGTCAGGAATTAATATCATAGAGTTAAAATGGGTTTTCAGGCAACTATTAAAACTAACAAGTAGGGCTGGGGATGTGGCTCAAGCGGTAATGCACTCGCCTGGCATGCTTGGGGCACTGGGTTCGATCCTCAGCACTACATAAAAATAAAGATGTTGTGTCCACAGAAAAAACTGAAAAATAAATACTAAAAAATTCTCTCTCTCTCTTTCAAAAAAAAAAAAAAACAACTAACAAGTCTCTTTGAAGAGTTAT